TCCAGATTTGTTCAGACTGATCCGGATTCTGGAAAATGATCCCCAGGTCTTTTGGGACCTTTTACAGAATTTTTCCAACCCTTTCCAGACATTTTCAAGTCTTTTCCAGATGTTTCCAAACTTTTCCAGACAATATCCAGACTTATCCAGAGTTTTACAGACTTTATCCAGACCTTATCCAGACTTGTACAGACTGATCCAGATTCAGGAAAATGATCCCTAGGTCTTTTGGGACCTTTGGCAGAATTTTTCCGACCCTTTCCAGAAATTTCCGGGCTCTTTCCAGACGTTTCCAGAGAATTCCAGACATTATCCAGACTTATCCAGACCTTTCCAGAGTTTTCCAAACTTCATCCAGATTAATCCAGACTTTACTCAGACTGATACGGATTCTGGTAAATGATCCTCAGGTCTTTTGGGACCTTTTTCAGAATTTTTCCAACCCTTTCCAGAAATTTCCAAGTCTTTTCCAGACGTTTCCAGAGATTTCCAGACTTTTCCAGACAATAACCAGACTTATCCAGAGTTTTAGAGACTTTATCCAGATTTATCCAGACCTAATCCAGACTTGTACAGACTGATTCGGATTCTGGAGAATGATCCCCAGGTCTTTTGGGACCTTTGGCAGAATTTTTCCGACCCTTTCCAGAAATTTCCAGGCTCTTTCCAGACGTTTCCAGAGATTTCCAGACTTTTCCAGACTTAATCCAGATTTATCCAGACATTTTCCAGACTTGTTCCAGCTCACTTGGCTTGTTCCAGGTTCTTGTTGTGTGTTAATATAAGCGTGTTAAAAAAGTGTCGCTTTTTCGTTTCATGTCGCTTTTTCGTTTCATCGAGTCTCACATCACTCCCAACGATTCTAAAGAAGTTTTCACTTCAAAATTAATGTTTTCATTTAAAAAAATAAAGTTAGCTGTCACAACTTGTTTCTGGGTCACCCTGTATACATGATATTACCATCAGAAAAACGGCAACTGAAATCAAAAATCGATGTGTCCGAGGTTTTCATGAGCAATCTCACCAATGTGTGAAATTAACACTTATCCTTTTTATTATTTTTCTAGGTTTTCTGGAAGTTCTTTATGTAATAAACGAATAAACATCATCTCTCCCACCCTCGTAACTACGCCACCTCACTTTTTTTTGGTGTAAACATTTCAAGTATCTATTTTGCTGTATTTGTATAGGTAAATTTTATTATCTTCGTAATATATTTTTGTGTTTCCGCACATTTCATTCTCCACGTTCTTATTTGTTAAATAAAAAGCACAATGTAAATTATAAAACTATTATTATAACTGTATACTTTTTAATTTATATTAAATGTATTAGTTTTGCCTCCACAAAAGCCCATAGGATTTATTATTCACCTTCCATGCAATTTGATCACACCCTTATTCCGTTATCTCGGAAATATTTGCCGTAACGTCGTCTATCACGGTCCTACTTTGAACTCGGCGACAAAGAATGAATTTCGCGCGCTTGAATTTGTTGCTGGCCTCTTAAACACATATCACAGTTTTAAAATATCGGCATTGCGAAAAATTCTCTTGTAGCATTCTGTTCTCCTGGTCCGAATATAAAATATTACGTCCATTTTGAAAACCTTATTCTTAAGAATATTTAATTCAGATTTAAAAATTGTTAAAATTCATAAGACTTCAAATTTTTTTATCCCACTTTTTTAATTTTATAGGTAATTATTCTTGAAAAGTTTAGACAAATTCACACGCTCTAGATGAAAATTTGATATTGATCGAAACAATTTGCGCAATAGCATGCTCTCCTCATTTCTGGATTCCTATGACACTAGAAGCGACTGTAGCGACCTCCCACAATAATTGATTGATGTAAAATTTATACCACCGCTTTCGATGACAAGCTTCTAAAAATTCATCATAGGAAGTAAAAACTGAATATTTTCATCGATTTCATTCATAATATAGATCATGCATGGTCATGATATCCTGATAGCTTGATTGAAATATATTAGGAGATATTCAAACAAATAGGAATAACAGTTGGGTAAGCGAGGTAAGCTGGAGCTTTCATTCTATAAAACAACATAAAGGTGCAAGGCAAGATACGCTTGAATAATGTTGAAATTTCATTTGAGAGAAGACAAGTTGAATTTTTTTTCGTGTGTAGATAGCAGTATGTATTAAGCTTTTTCTGAGAATTATTAATAAAAATTGAAAAAATATGTGTTTTCTTTTTTTGCTTACATATGAATGAACGTTCGGAAATTAGTTCGACGTTTTTGAAACATAAACATTCGACGTCGACGACGTCCACATGTCGTTTGGAACTGTGAAAAAAAGCATTTTTAAAACGTACGTTTTCGACGTCTATAGGACGTTTGAAATTCAATCATTTGCACAAGAGAAAAACGTACATTGGACACGTCTTAAAGACGTATCTGTTTTATCAGGGTTATGGAATTCTAGATATGCTCAAAGAAAAACTGTGAAGTTTCCATCAACTTTATATGCTGAGTCGGAGAAGTGGGAGAACAAGATTAGTCTCGATTTTAAGTATCATCAACATAGGCGATCAATCTAATGGTGCGTACGATAAGTCCGAACTATTGACACTTTTTACCCTGACCCGTCATTATGTCGCACTTTTTACACCATTCGTACCGTTCAGCGTTCATTTTCCAGTGTATAGTTTAGATGGTTGCGTTCCAAAACATAACTGCACCGCACTAACGCTAACCGGTTCAGACAAATCGTACGCACCATAAACAGCAATACTGGAGCCGCACAATCTCCCAGTCTTGACAGACCCAGTTTCTGGCAGCATTGTCTCTTCCTCTGTTCTCTCTCTTTCCTGCGGTCCCTCTTTTCAGTCTCGTGTCTGCGTCGCTGTTCTTTAAAAGTTTGTGGTCCGTCATGGACTACTCGACGCCTGAGGGTCTATAATTTGCCGTCGGCTTCCAGTTGCTGGTATCGATGCAGCACTTTGCCATATTTTCCTCTAGAACATCTTTGTAGCGTTTATGTTGACCTCATTAATTGCGTTTCACATCTTTCTTGACTATAGAGAATCTGTCGTGGAGGACGTGTTTCGGGCATGCGTACGAAGTGACTTGTTCAGCGAAGTTGGCGCTTGATGATGCGGGCTTCAATGCTAATGCTCTAATGTTCGTATTACAACTGCATTGTAGACGCGAAGCTTGGTCTCAACGCTGATATCGTGATTGTTGAAGACTGTCTCTGGAAGTCGTCCGAATGCCGCGCTAGCGCACACGTCAAGCGATGTTGGATTTCAGCGTCGATGGGTAGTGTTCTGCGTTCTACGTTCTGCAAAGAATGGTCATTTATGGTTATATTTGAGGCTTGAAGATTAGTATGCGGTTCGGTGCGGGTTAATGCAGAATCTGCGTCTTGTTGAGGTTGAACTCTAGGCCGATTCTACTGTATGCTTGGTTGAATGCATTGATTGCCTGAAGATCTTCCTCTGTATTGGCCATCACGACCTTATCATCCGCGTATTGGAGTCCAGTTATCAATGTCGTCGATACTTTCCTCTTGGCTCTGTTTAAGTTGAATAAGCCGCCATCAAGTCTGTACAGGATTTCCACTTCTGACGGCAGGTGAGCCCTCGACAAGATGAAGGATGGATCCTATAAATAGAGAAAATAAAGTGGGTGCAATAACACAGCCCTGATTAACGCCTGTAGTTTTTATAAAGGACTCTCTGTCCATCCTTGCTTAGGACGGTTGCATTCATATTATCATACAGCAGGCGGACTATCTGGATGTACTTTTGCTGACACCCTACTTTTGCCAATAACTTCCAAAGAGGTTCTCTGTTGACCGAATCAAATGCTTCCACTAAATCTATGAAAGTCATGTATAGAGGGCCATTATGTTCCCTGCATTTGTCTTGTACTGGAAATCATATCAGCTGTACTTCGCTTGGGTCTAAAGCCACACTGTGTCTCTGGAAGGCTCTCTACGGCAGTTGAGATTAGACGATTTGATAATATCTTGGCAAGTATCTTTCCCGCAACAGAAAGTAAAGATAGGTATTCCTAGTTTCCACATTAAGCATTGCATCCTTTTTTAAAAACGGTTAGCTAGGTACCTATCTACTATGCAGGCATCTCTAAGTTTGGCAGGTATGGTCTCAGTAACCCATATTTCACTTATTAGGATGCGGGTTTGGCCACTTTAGTGTGGGGCCTCCTTGTTTAAAGAATTCAGCAGGAATGCCGTCAGTACCAGCTGACTTAATGTTCTTTAGATGCCTGTTGCCTGATTGCCTTTTTAATCTCCTCTCATCTGGGAATTTCGCTCAGTTCTTGTTGAATTAGTTTTTGTGGAATTTCGTTGAAGATATCATTATCAATTTGTGATTCTCTGTTAAGTAGTTCCTGAAAGTGTTCCTCCCAGCAAGAATTTTTGGAAAAACTGTTTTTAAGCAGTCTTGTGCCATCTTTGGATCGTAAGGGATTGAGTCCTTGAGTGGTTGATCTGTATACCATTTTAGTAGCCTGAAAGAAGGCCCCGGTGCTGTGGATGTTATGGAATTCTAGATATCGTCAAAGAAAAACTGCGAAGTTTTCATCAACTTTATATGAAGAAGTGGAAGAAAAAATATATGTCTCGATTTTAAGTACCTAATAACTATTGTATATGGAGTACTTATTTGAACATTGTTACATCCTGAACTGAACGCATATGTTCCAAAGGATTTGTTGTTCTAGCCATTAATGCAAAACTGACACCAACAATCATTTGATTTGACTGACTCGGAACAGAACCTTGACAAGCTTTACTAATATTCGTGAAGGTGTGCAGGTAAACGCATTGTCCACACCAATAATCCTATATCTTGATTTTAAAATGTTTGAAAATTTTACTCAGGGCTCCAGCAGCTTTATAGCTAGTTTGGATACCTACTTTTTCATCAGTCAGCATGCATCAGATCTTTACTTCAACTCTTATAATTTTTTTCAGTTTAGTATAAACGCAAATAAAACCACAATAATGTTTTAGGGTATAGTGTATATTGACTTCATATTCATGTACAACTGCATTAGTATTAAAATAGAATTTTAGGCGATCCTTTGGTAAAAAAAATTCTTATAACTAGAAGCATAATATTAGAAAACAATTTTCAGTGAACACAAAGTGTTTTGTACTAACCCAACCTAAGTATGAAAAAAATTCTCGTTAATATCTTAATTATGTATTTATTGTCATTTAATTCTATTGATATGCTATGATATGCTAAAAAATATAAAGTATTGCATTTAATCCCATTCAAAAGTTGCAATATGTTGGTCGCTGAAATCTGTCCATGCTTGTAATGTTTAGTCAATACAGGAGATTGTCATTAAATTGCTCAGAAAAGCTTGTTCACCTTTTGTCTGATAATTTCAGTCAATATCTGTAATCACTAGCATATTTCGCTTCATACAAGAAAGCACGGTTATCTTCAACTTCTAAACTGGGGGATTTCAGCGTTAGCAGTCGACATAAAAATTTGCTTATACAGTTTCTAAGAATATTGAGCTGATATTGCAGTCTTGAAATTTAGAAGTATTTCTTTTTCTTATTATTATACATGAAAATATTGCAGTAACACAAATTACCTTACAAACTTAAAGTTTAACACATAACAAAATATCACAATGACATTAGCATGCTACAATAATAATTATTATTATTCCATACTGCTCAATTGGTTTCATAACGAAAACTTAATACAGTATAAAAATGCTAATAAAAATTCAAAAAAAAGCTGCCTATATAGTGTATATACAAATAAATAAATATGTACTAATATTATAATTTATAACTAACTTAATACTTATAGTAGTATTATGTAAATTCATAATATTGTCTCGATTTATTTCAAGACCATCGCATAACATCATTGCAGATATTATCAACACATTCATTAGCAAAAGGAAAAAACAGATGATTCGTTGACAAGCCAGAAATTGTAATAAAACATCTTTAATTCAAACATCTCATCCACACATTCCTTCCATGTTACATCAAAGTAACACCAAACATAAATAGGATGAGAATGATCACTCTAAGCTCTGTTCCACGTGATGTGTTCGCTCACCCGCAGATGTCTTGGCTGAGCGCCTATACATTCTGTGCCTATACTTAGTAGATCATCTGAAGGTCTGGCGAGACTGACCATTCGCACTACTTTAAAAGGCCGCCGACGCAGAGATAATCGAAATTCAACAGGTTCTATAGGAACACAATTTTTGGTTGACATCATGTGCGTTTTAAATATTAAACATTGGCAAGACGATTTTGATACTACCACAACTTTGTTTTACATACAGTTTGTTAGGAGTTTCAAAGCCTCGTTGTCAAGATGAAGATGCGGTTTTTTTTTTTAATTCGTTGGTGGTAAAATGCAAATTTGAACCATTTTTAGCTTTTGTGCGGGTTTCCAATATTTGTCTTTGTCCAAACATTCCTCATTACATATCTTTATTTAGCTGCTAAATTATTTGATAAAGTTGACGTTCACCTACCAATGGAATGCATAATTCCGAACTATGAGAACTAGGCTTACCTTCTCAAAATAGGAAAAAATTCAGCATGTTGTCACATGGTGATACATTCAAAGATTTTACAAATGCCCATATCCCTATGTATTAAATTTTACCTCTGGTTTCTTAAACTTTTTTTTAGCTAAATTATTAGTATTTGAACCCCCAACACTCAGAAACTTTCACTACCTACTCAAAGTGAAAATACATTTTGACGTTTTGGCATTTCAACAAATTGACAGAATCTTACTTATTCTTACTAGTTTGCCGCTTACGTCTTTCTGTATAAAAGCCTGAGTGGTTGGACTCGGTGGCAGATTGTTTTGCATTCTACAGTTTAACTTAAATCATTGATATTCATTTTCATCTATTTTTAATAGGGTGAGCATTTTTTACCCGATTCAGCATTGTCATGTTTTGTCTTCAATCACGATATTAGGGTATCCCAATAATTAACTGGATATGGACAACAGGAAGAGTTATTATGAGTCCTTTGGAATGCGTTTTTATCTATTTATATTTTAGATAGTCCAGTGTGAATATTCAAGATCAAATAATCCCAAAATACATATAAGGTTTTGTTGAAAACCCGATATGTCAACAATTTAAAAAGTAATCTACCAGTTTATAATGGTATTTTTGTTAAAAAATTCGCTTCAAACTTCAACTTTTCATAATATTGCAATTTTTCCTCATTATTGCATTTGCCTTTAATCTTCACTCTACTCATATAAACACAAAACAATGTCCGCAAAAAAATGTTAAAATGTTGCTTTCCAATTGCACGTAGGTACATATACATGTATGGATGATGCTTTCTAACAGGTTGCAAACTGTCAGAAACTGCTGTGACAACAGACCTAATTTACATATTTCAAGAAATTGGAATGTGAGCCATAGCTTTATGAAACTTGTAAAACAAAGTATTATTCAAAATGAGATGACCTATGTATTTACATCGGAGTTTCATTGTCACCCATCATAGCTCCTTGTATAGTATATGCAGGAGGCCCATTATGTAAAAACGTCATATTTCTCATACTATTCCTTGCAGGGTTTCCCCTCTTCTGGGGAACTTGTGGGGTTGCGAGACTGTGATGATACTGTTTCGGCGGAGAATAATTGGCTCTGGCACCGTGAAAGTTGGAGTAGCTAGATCTAACTGAAGGGGGTCTATTATTGTAGAGTTCATCAAAATCTTCATTTAGGGAGGTAGTAGATTGTTGATAGGAAGGGTTAGTATGACCCATTGGACCTTGCCAGTTGGCAGTATTATTAATTGAACTTGTAGAATTAACATAATAATTTGGCAAAGGAGATTCGATTGGCGATTGGCTAGTAGTGCTTTCATAGGCCTGGCACTTTTGCTGTTGCTCTAAGAGTTTTGTTACAGGATTTTGCATTCTTCTAGAACTCCTTGTAGATGATCTAGAATGAGTTTGTCTTCTACTGCTAGTGCTATGCCTTCCTGATGAACCTCTTTGCATAACACTTCTTCTTTTTACACGGCGAGGTGTCATTGGTTTGGGTGAGGATGGCATATGATCAAATTCGTTGTCACTCTCACCAGGTCGATTATCCAATTGGGAGCTGAATTCTATTGAGTATAATGACATGCGCTGCTTTGAATGTTTCCTTGTTGATTTATGCGATGCTGTCAAGAGGGAAGCATATTTAATTTTAAGGGCAATTTACAAAAAAAATGAACCATGGTCTTTTCTTATTATTGAGTCATGACCTTAATTTTATCAAGGAAAAAAACAACAAAGACCAAGGTACACTTTCACAGTTCATACTCTCTGAACTAAATTAAAGTAGCCTCTTTTAAAGGTTTATAAACTTTTGTCTACAATCGATTTGGATAACTTCTGGACATTTTCCTACATATTATGTAGACAGATAAGTAAATGGGATAATTTACGTCGAGTGTGGTAATAAAACTTCTGGATAACTGAACAAGATAACTTTTCCAAGGGAACAATTCAAAAAAGGGGCGGGCTACTTCAATTTGGCCCACAGTGTATAAAGCGACAATATAACATAAGGAACAATAAAAAAAAGCAATTCTTATTATATCGTATAAAGATTTAAGTTAAATGCTCTCTAAACTACAATAATTATTAAACAAAAAATCATGCAAACTAAGCACCAATTGTTACGTTATAATAGCAGTGACAAGGTACAGAGTCATTAAAAATCACAGATCCTCTGGATAAAAAGCATTGGAGCATAAACTCTGAGGCCTATTTTTTTTATATTTATTAGTGGTAGCAAGCGCATCAGAAGAGTTGCTTCGTCTTACGGGCACTCTTACAGCGTCATAGGCGTAGTTATTATTTTTTTTAAGGCGAATGAAGTCTGGGTTATTTGGGCTTTGAAAATGCGCAGACTCAGTTCGTCGGGTTTTAGCATGCAAGTGCCTATTTGAACCATGCAAAGTGCCACTCGAGCTCACATACATTGGATGTAATAGATAATTAACAGGCCCATCTGCTCTCTCGAAATTAACTGAAAAATAAAGATACAAGCGATAGCTGATATTGTTTAGTCAAAAGAAAAAGACAAACCACTTTTTACTTTTTTGCACATTGTTTCAAGTTATTTACTTTTATATTCAAGGAAATAAACGACATAGGGGGAAATGTTTTTATAAATAGGGTAAAAAAGGATTTCTTTACTTTAATTTTTTTACCCATTAAACAATTTCAACTAAATTTCCTAATCACGTTTTTTAAATGAATAGAATGAATACATTTTCAGTCCCTAGCAAAACTCGTTAAGAGGATTTAACATTTGAAAAAGTTGTTGATCATCTATGTTGATAATTTTAATTTGGATGCTGGGTTATGATTTTACTTCTTGTTGTTATTTTACTTCTTGTTGTTAGAGTTTAAATAACATGGGTTGATTTTCTATGAAAAAGTGATTCAAATTGAAAATGGTCTTAGTTGATTTTAGAGTGGGTCAGGGTTCGGAGGTTTTTTTACTTAAGTTAGGTCGTTAAGCCCTCTAGAACTTTTACATATATTTTTTTTTGTGCCTTGCATTTCGGACATATTGGATTTTCTAAATTACATGTAAAGGAACAAAAAAGTAATATACCAAATATAAACCAAAATGATTAACATGCCAAAAAGTAAAAAAAATTGTTCAGAACCCATGACCTAAATGCTCCCTCATGCATTTTAAAACTTATATCTACATTTTGAACAAAAACTAATACCAAACTACTAAAGATAAATGAAAAAGAAAAAATATACATACTAGGGCACAAGGTAGAGATACATAGATTGAATACTAGAAACCTATATTTACAATGGTAAGAGGCAGTATCAAAAATGACCACATGCTTTAATTAGCATTCCCATTCACCACTTACCAAATGGTTTGCGGATCAAATCCACCAATGAAATCAACTGCAAGCATATTTTTACTGTAGGTATTGTTATGTTAAGATAATCAATTGCATATTTATGTTAAAAGTTTAGAGTTAATACTGGTGTACCATCCAAGTGCAAAATATCTCAGAATTCTCAGAAATTACCTATGACCAAATTTTGGATAAATATACAGTATTTTTGGTAATAATAAATCTTTTTACAACAGCAACCCTGCATTCTAATATTATTTCTATTTCAAGCAAGTTAGTAAAATGAGATAGTACTACCAGAAAAACTTAATAAAATGTAGGGAAACAAGGATTAATTTTATTTACTTACAGGTGTCATCCTCTTCCATAAATGTCCTGCTGAGACAAATACTGACAATACCGCTTAGAATCTAAAATAAAATATTAAGGTTTTCATTTTATCATCAACTCTCAACTATCAACCCGACATCTGACATTACATTCAAAAATTATTATTTTTTAAGTAGGTAACTCATATTCATGATATTAATATAACAAATTGAACTTTTACAAAATATTATAGAAAGGCTGTTAAATTCAGCATAAGGTGAGATTCATTGAAGTATCAATAATTTGCAGGCAAAGATGTCTTTCATTATTTTTTGAAATTTCTGAAGAGTCACCCCATCAGGTGGACTTTTCAGCATTTAGTTAATTTTTTTTTACCCCAAATGTAACAGACTCCAGATCTCACTTGGCATAGCTTTACCTTTGAAACTGTTTTCTGAGTAAGACTATGTATACATGACTTGCTTACTCAACCAAGATTATGAAACGTTGGCATAAAAATAATCAGTTTCCACTATAGCAATACCTTATAAACAGGAATCCTATCTTTAATAAATAAAGCTATAAATAAACATAGCTATCAATAATAAATAATAACAATCAGCAATTATTAAATTTATAATCCCAACCATCCCATCACTAAATAAAAAGACCTACCGTTATAACTACTTGTAGTCCAGAATGAAATATTTCCATATATCTATAATCAACTAAACATCCTTCGTATTTGAGATCCTCAACATCAGCAACCTTACACCCCATTCCATTTTTTTTCCACCAGCTGTCGCTTGTCTGGTCTAATTTAAGCACTTTGTTGGTCTAAAAATATAACATGGATTTTTTGGTGAAATGTAGATAGAATACCTAATATTTCATCAACTGGAAAGCTTGTGAAATACCCTAGTGGCTTTGTTTAAATTGGAGTCAATTGAAACAATTGCAACACATCATCCTTCTGGTGAATTCACTTTTGTGGTATTTCGGATTAGGATAATAATATGTACTTACTTGATGATCAAGTCCTGCAACATCAAGATACAAGCATATTAGGAAACTATTCCATGCAATCCAAAACAAGTGCCACGAAAGATACTAAAATATAAATCAAGTTCAATTTGCTAAAAATTTGGACAAAAGTAATACTTACAGCAACAATATACTTGGGTCTATACTGATAGGCTCCAAAAAATCCAAAAATTATAAAAATAAGTTCAAAGAAGTTCACCAGTATTGGTATCCACAGAAAACCCAAAAAATCGAACACTTGCCTTTCTACAACCGTTATCTAAAATTAAATTTATAGATATAGAAAAGTACTTAATCATTTGTAACTACATGCATGCAAGTAAGTAGTATTCAGGGTGGATATGGAAAACTGTATATAGAAAAAATTGTCAATGGGGGCAACCCTTAAAATATTTTCAAGATGGTGTCACTTCCAGTTATCCCGGAAGTAGACGTCAGCTTGCTGATGATATTTAATCTTTAGTTTCTACTAAAGATTCTAGAGAGATTCCATGTAAAAAATCGGTAGCAAAATCGCCATAAGTATAAAAATATGAAATTGGCAATATTTGGAAAACTAAACATTTTCGGAATAGACAACTTACCCTATTTTTATTGGTAAATAAGATAAAATTATAAATTATATATTATAAAAACCCTATTGAAGTAAGTCCTTGTCCACAAGGAATTCAACCCAAATCAAATAATAAAATATTTCCTCGAATATTTCTTACCTATAGGAAAAATTCATAATTATTTTAGTGTCTGCAAACATAATTTTTGACATAAAAAATAAAATACATATTTATGTCAAAAATGCTTAGACTTAGGTATAAGACATACATTATACACTTAATCTCTGTAGAACCTTGAGTTGAAATCTTGGTAGAAACTAAAAATAAAATAATATATAGGGTGTCTCATTTAAAATAAGCCGGTGGAAATCTACTTCCGGTATAACCAAAAGTGCCACCATCTTGAAAATATTTTAGCTGGGTTACCCTCATTGACATTAGCCGAGACATTGACATTATAGTATACTGTCAAATTTTCAAAATTTACCTGTAGGTATACAGTTTTTCATATACGGATCGATTTGGTTCCCAGTGGGAAACCCTGTATATTAGGTAAGTATATATGTTACTGTAAATGCCCGAAATTCGGTAAAACCTAGGATAAGCGCGCTAAACCTAGGATTTACCAAAAACAAGTAGTAAAAGCCCGAAAACTAGTTATTTTGCTTTCATTTCGGACTTTTACCGGACACAAACAGTAATTTTTAGGATTTACCACACCGCATCGGTAAAAGTACGAATACCACTAATACGTTACAAAAAATCGATATCGTGAAACGATAATCGGTAAGAAAATTTCTTGAGTACTGGAGATGTTCTATTTCAGGCAATTAGCGTAAGAAGTGCAGTACGAATATTGTCGTTATGTAGTAGCCAAGGATTTAAGAAATGCAATTGCATTCGAACATGTTTCTCCAAAAGATGTTTGTGCAGATCCTCTAACATACTCTGCAATTCTAAATGCCATGGAAGTTTGCCCTGTACCAATAAATAAATACATATTTCTATTAGTGGACATTTTAATTCATTTATTTCATTTAATAAATGAAAGGATTTTTTCTTTTAATATTTAAGTAAAGTTTTTCCAAAGTCAATTGGAACAAGGCAGGGCCGTAGCCAGGGGGGGCAATGCCCTATCTTTCAAATGATGATGCCCTACCTTTAAAACACATGTGCTGAGGTTTCTCTAGGAAATTTAGGAGTAGATGGCAGCACTGTTCCAACCGACATGAGAACCATTCTAGAACGGTAATTTACAGTCAATCAATTCATTTGTCAAGTAGGATCTGAGGATCAGCGTTCAACTTATTGAAAATTAGGTGGGCAATTGGAAATTACTGGTTCTGGAACGGTTCCCATGTCGGTTGGACCACAGCTAATGAATAGACCTGAAATCGAGTAAGTTGGTATGGTATACAGTTATTTTACAAGTAGTACAAGTACAAGAGGTCCCTCAAAAATTATTGCCTGAACGCGCCATTTTGTTTACTTGCCAGAGATGTTATCTGATGTTGTTTATTGAAAAATTTTCCTCCGGCGTAATTACCCTAATTTTGTTTACCTATAAAAAATTTAAGGGGGAGGGGGGGAAGTAGTGCATGTCCTATGTCAAATTTTTCATGCCCTATCACAAATTTGACTCTAGCTACGGCCCTGGAAAAAGGTGAACATAAATCATAACTGGTGATCGACCAGTGGCAGTGCATTTCTTATAGAAATTTTCAGTGACCAGTCAGCTACCCGTTGGTACCTTGTTCCAATTGAGTTTGGAAATACTATACCTACTTTTTGGCCTTTTTGCAATATTAGTAGGTACCTGAATTAATGTTTTTTTTTTATATATCGTTTAAGGCCACTATGATTTCTGTTTACATTTGAAAATATTAAAATAAAAAGTGTTTTGCTGTGACTTTTTGTTTCATTTATAAAGTATCTTATTTTTAGGCATTGAAATTTTAACGATGATCATTTCACGATATCGATTTCTGTAACGTATCCGTGGTATTCGTACTTTTACCAATGCGGTGTGGTAAATCCTAAGATTTACTGTTTGTGTCCGGTAAAAGTCTGAAATGGAAGCAAAATAACTAATTTTCGGGCTTTTACCACTTGCTTTTGGTAAATCCTAGGTTTAGCGCGCTTATCCTAGGTTTTACCGAATTTCGGGCATTTACAGTAACATATACATATAATTATATATTTATCGATTCGATTGATAGTGCAACCTTGATGTAAAGAACAGCGTCGAGATAAATTATTCACCAGTTTTTAGAAAATAAACTGGGTATAAAAATTTGACAATTTTATTTCAAGCTTGATTTCAAGTTTATCTAAATTTGTGAATCATGTGAAAAACAAATTGCTACTTAATGATAATAATGAATCTTTTCGATCTAGTAGATCAAATAATGTCTAGACTGTAATTACTTTTTACCTACCTAGCTAAGGTAACATATACCTCTTACTAGCTCTGGGACCAGGCACCACCACTAACGAAATTCCGAAAAATTAATAGGTGGTTCTAATGCCCATGTAGACCCACCCAATAACTTTTTTTCCAACCCAAAAAAAAAACAATTTTGAAAAAATAAAATTTTGACAATTATTTTTTTGTCAGCACTTCCAAATTTGAAAATGACCAATCTAAGATTACAGTTCGTTTGCTCATCGAATGCCAATGTAGGCCTAGCCAATAACCGTTTTTGCCGAGGGGGAAACCACCTTAGAATTTTGGTGTACAAGCTGATAGAATTTTAGGATTTTTTTAAAATTTTCTAGTATTATCAGTATTTTTTAGTATTTCCTAGCAATTTTTAGTATTTTTTCAGTATTTTTTAACATTTTTTAGAATTCAATTAGAATTTTTAGAAATAATTTAGAATTTTCACCTATTGCGCATGCTCAAGAACCCGCGCAATCTGTAGGAATTTTTCCCTGGGGCGAGTTCAGATGCTCAAATCAAATCAAATAAAAAAAAGCTTTATTGTCATAAATTCAAAAAGATCCATTGACAAAGCGACTTATCCTAAACTAAACTACTATTCAGAGAACACACTCCGCATTCACCCTTAACAATATACCAGGTGTCTACGAGATCAGTTTCGCGCTGGCATTTGCTGGTTTTTTTTTTCGATGGCAAAGATTTTTGGTATAGAGTGTAGGTTTGAGAAATGTCATATTTTGACATGTGTGTCAATGTTTGGTAACTTCCGGTTTGACCGGAAATGGTCCTAACTCCGTAATTTTGAATGGCATCCCAATAATTTTTTCGCATTTTTGGTATCTACGGATCATGATGTGTACGAAAACGTCAAATTTGAACATTTTTGAAGAAATTTTAGAACTCTGGATGAACATTTATTTTTGAACAGAAAGTGACGGAGAGGTCGTAAAATTGTTATTTTCAACCCACACAATCATAGAAAAATGCGAGTGCCAAGATGTTATCCTTTGCTTGCTCTCCAAAGGCATCCAAAGTTGAAAAAATCACATTTTGCGTGATAACTCAATGAAATCAGTGAAATCACCCAACTTTCACAACAAGAGTTTTTTACCTTTTCCAAAATAAAACCAACTATGCATTGAAACTTTTCATTTATGTTAGTTTTTAATTATTTTCTTATTATTTTTATAATGCACTACTATAAATGATAAAACTAGGTACTTATAAATGAACCCCTGTATGAAGAACGCTTTCCAAAAGGAGCTGGTGTTTTTTTTTTTTCTTGACAAGCCATTGACAAGATCTGTGGGCAAGATATGTTTATTTGTCATTGTTTGACATCTTGGGAATTTGTGAATACAAAGTTTGAATACAGGGGTTTATTTATAAGTAGTTTTATCAGTTATAGTAATGCATAGTAAAAATATTGGAAAAATAATTAAAAACTGGCATGAATAAAAAGTTTTAATGCATAGTTGATTTTATTTTGAAAAAGGTAAAAAACATTTGTTATGAAAGTCGGGTGATTTCACTGATATTATTGAGTTATCGCGTAAAATGTGATTTTTTCAGCTTTGGAAGCCTTTGGAGAACAAGCATAGGATAATAACTTGGCATTCGCATTTTTCTACGATTGTGTTGGTTGAAATTAACAATTTTAAGACCGCTCCGTCACTTCCTGTTCAAAAATAAATTTTCATCCAGAGCTCTGAAATTTCTTCAAAAATGTTCAAATTTGACGTTTTCGTACACATCATGATCCGCAGATACCAAAAATGTGAAAAAATTATTGGGATGCCATTCAAAATTACGGAGTTACAACCATTTCTGGTCAAACCGGAAGTTACCAAACATTGACACACATGTCAAAAGATGACATTTCTCAAACCTACACTCCATACCAAAAATTGCCATCGAAAAAAAAACCAGCAAATGCCAGCGCGAAACTGATCTCGTAGACACCCGGTATATATATGTGTATTTTATTTTTTTTTAAATAATAGGAACAAAAAGAGCAAATCGAGGAGCAAATCTTCAATTATTACAATTATGCTTATGAAACACGTTAAAATATCAATACAAGTGACACTAATTAAATATCAGAATGCCACGGACAGACACAACTAAAATAACAAAAATAATAAAATATCACAAGAATATGAACCAATATAAATATAAATATAAAACAAATCATAAAATTAACAAATATAATCACAAACTAACAAAATTTAGGACTAATTAGGATGAATCGTAAAATTCCTG